AGGGACGGCGATGATATAACTTCATACCTAATCCGATTTGAGAGGATAGCTGCTTTGCTGCAATTAAAGCGTGAGAGCTATGCCATTCGCTTGGGCAGTCTTTTGACAGGTAAAGCTGTGAAGATTTATGCCGCGCTAGCTCCTGAGATAACAGAGAATTATGACTCCCTTAAATTAGCTCTACTTAGTGGTTTTAATAAAACGCACGAAACTTACCGCAGCGACGTTCGATCCGCGCGCATCGGAGTCGACGAAACTTATCAACAATTTGCTGTTCAGTTGGGTCGCCAACTTGATTTTTGGCTTAATTCCTTATCAGTTCAGAAAACTTACGAAAATATCAGACAATTCATTATCGTCGATCAATTTCTTAGTTCGTTGCCAACCCCACTTAGAGTATTCATTAAAGAGCAGAATTGTCAGTCATTAACTGAAGTTGTTAAAGTTGCCGATAAAGTTTCACCGGCCTTGGCTCATCGTGCCTACCCAGCCGACCTTAAGTCTAGTAGACCGCGTGATTTTAGGCCAAATCACAGGAGCGAGAGCCTCGACGGCGCGTCTCTTACAACTAACGTAGTTTCACCTGCCGATAGTAAACCTGAACTGCCCCGTAAATGTTATGCTTGTGGTGATGGGGGCCACGTTAAGAAAGATTGTCCGCAAAATCCAAAGAGCTATTTTAAAGGTCAGTCCTCCTCGCGTACTGTTCAATTTTGTCTCGATGACACGACGCCGCGGAAATATTTGTGTAGCGGTACCGTTAATAACGCGCCGGTTTCTATGATCTGCCGCGATTCTGGCAGTAACTGTATAATCGTGTCCGATAAAGTCATCCCTCGTCCAGCAGGAGAACCCGGTAAGACTTTTACTCTTAGGAATTATTTAGGTCGGGAAGATAAATTCCCCGTAGTTAGATGCTTTATTAGCTGTCCGTATTTTCATGGCTGGGCTAATGCCGTTCGTGCACCGATCAAGGGCTGCTCTGTCCTGATAGGAAATGTAAAGGGTGCTACCGATTTAACCGTCTCGGATGCTACTAGCAACACGAGGTTGGAGAGGCGCGAGCCTCCAGCTTCTGTTCAAGCGGTTACCAACCGCAGCGTTACCGATAAGCGTAGGTCGATACGCCCGATGGCGATACCGAACTGTGACCCAGCGCGTATTCCCGCTAATCAATTACGCAAGGAACGTTTTTTCTGGCCCTCCGGCACGACTGACGTTCGGAACAATTGCCAGACTTGTAAAGTTTGTCAGCAGTTCGCCCCGAGGCCACCCTTTAGCAGAGTTTCGTTGCAGCCACCCTGGCGGAGCTTCCGAGAACGACTTACATCAGTTCACAGGTGACTGGTATGTTACCGAACCAGACATTCCCGTCTAAACCTTTCGTCAATCTCAATGAAGTCACGAGTCGGCTTCGAGCCGATAAGTTATGTGTAAGCGACGTGTAGAGCTTAGTCTCGCTTCTCGTCTTGGTTGTTACATGTGTATACATTGTTCTTGTTCCTGTTTCCGTTCATGTTCTCGTCCTTCGTTCGAATTTGTAGCTTAGTTGCATAATCTAGAGTACGAATTCTACTGTAGAATATCAACATACTGTGACCTAGTTGTAAGTTAGTTTGATGAATTTCCATTGTTAATTCTATCGAGAATAGAATCTTTCGGGGGGAGTCGTATAGAGGAAATTCATCAGGCATTGCAACAGCGCCACGTCATCATAGCTAATTACTAGCCGCAGGTCTCCGCTGTTGTTCATTGTCTCTTCAGAACTCGTGGGGGGTGGTCGGCGCTCTGATAGTCTTCCGCCTTCGAAAGTCAAACTTGCAATTCCTGTTAGTTTACCTGCCTGGAGCAGCCTTGTCCATATCTGCAGTTAGACGGTCACACTGGACTACGGTCAAATACTTAGTCTCTCGTAATCCCTTGGCTCCTCTTATCATGCCTTCCATGTATCGGGCGGCTGTGGACCCAATTGGCTGGACTAACTCAGGGACCGTAATTTGGGATCTTCCAAGCTTCACTTGGATCTCTGGAGTGAGTCCTGATTCCTTTACATATGTATGTCCCAATCCTTGAAAATTTGAAGGCGCTTCTGATGCACTCTGATGTACGAAACCATGTCTCAATTCAAAAGTCCAGTCTTAGTGCTAGTGATGTTCATATAATAGAGTTTCTCATCTGCACAACACTGTCAAAGTTCTCACTTTCTATCTGACCAGAATTGCTTGCACATTCAGCTTTACTTGGATGATTTTCAAGTGGTGAATCCTCTAGGCACTTCAACCAAGAAGAATAAATTATGTGCCATATATTGGTCATTGGGTAATATCCCACCTCATTTGAATAGCCAATTATTTACTATACAAATTTTGTTGCTGACCAAAAGTTTAAATATAAAGAAATACGGGTTTAACACGTTGACTACGATTGCTTCATCTTGTACTATTATTTCATTTTTTGTACCGTTTTTAAACAGGGTTGCCAGACAGTCTTTTTTTCAGACAAATTCGGTGATTTAGTTTTTCTCAATTGCGTTGGCTGGCTAAAATTTATGATAAGGGTACTTCCTAATTAAATTTTAAATACTGCAACAAGAAAATAAATGAAATTTTTATAGCGGAACCTACAAATAAACTAGTATACATTGAATTATCGGCCTCTTTTGGCCTTTTTTGTTCTCGGATTTGGCCGATTTTAGGCAACCTGAATTATGTACCACTACCTCCTGGAGATATACATTTCGTGGTACGCATATGTACCAATACGTAGTCAACGTGTTAAAAAAATATTACAAAATTTTTTACATGATATGCATATTCTTGAGGAGCAGGGGCTGAGAGTAGAAACTTACTATGGAAACTTTAATTTCGAGGGAACTTTAGCTTTTGTACTTAGTGATAATTTGGCTGCCCATGAACTGGGGGGCTTTGTGAAAAGTTTTTCATCCCTGCGTGTGTGCAGGCTTTGCATGGCAACTAAAGAGATGATAAAAGACAAATTTACAGAAGAGGAATTTGTCTTACGAACAGAGGAAAGCTACAATGAAGCTGCCAGAATTGTTAAAGCTAACAAAGAAATGGGTCCCACTTATGGCATAAAATCAAACTCAGCTTTGAACAGCTTAAAATATTTTCAAGTCTGTTGGGGGTTCCCGAGTGACATAGCTCACGACATGTTTGAAGGTTTCTGTTTAGATCTGTTGAAAACAGTTCTAACTTAATGCATGTCTAAAAAATACTTCACATTGAATTATTGAAACGATAGAATTGAAAATTTCCCCCACACTGGGTGTGATAAAAGGAACAAGCCTGCTCTTTTAAGCAGAGACAAGCATGGTGGACTCAGTGTAAGGCAAACTGCTGCCCAGTGTGCAAACTTGGTGCGAATGCTCCCATATTTGGTGGCGGAAAGACTTCCCACAAATGATCCTCATTAGTGCTGCTATGTGGATTTTCTTGATCTTCTTGATTTCATTTTAGCCCCTTCTTTGTCTTTTGGACACATCCATTATATGAAAGATTCAATTTCTGCTTTTCTTGAAAAATTTTTTCATCTCAACCTTGATTTGTCTGTAAAACCCAAATCACACTATACCGTCCACTTTCCTTAGAATATTTTTGCAAAACAACTTGGCATTATTTGAAAAAATAAATAAATAAATGATTGATAACACTAAAAAATATATGAATAACTTTGTAAAATGACAGTTTTTGGTAGATGCATAGCCAAAGATTATTCTGAATTTCTAACCCAAAACATCCTAGTTGAAAAATAGTTTTAGCTCTGATTTTATGTTTTAATGCTAAAAATTCATGTTTTACATCCTTTCAATAATGATTATTAAATGATTTCATCCTTTCGATTATTAAAGATATGTTGATACCATTATATTTGGCTCAAATTTGAATTATACTAATTAATTTTTTTTATTTTGGTGCTTATTATTTTCATATTCTCAATTGGTAATGCAATATTTTCACAAAGCTATCCGACAAAACAAAAATATCATGCTGTTGCATTAGCCTTACTGACGAAGTACCCTCATCTAAAGAAAGATATTGAGTTTGGTGATGCCGTGGTAAGTGACAAATCATGATATTTTCTTTGCAAATTTCTTCATGTACCCTGCACACATTAGCTATTATGAATAATATTCATGTTGTTTATTTTTTGTCTTCAAAACCGTGTAAATTATTTCAACTGTTGATTAGAAAAATACAACTTAGTTCTTTCGAATAGGCTGTACAATGTGCAGCCCACTGTCACTTACCATTGCCAGGAAACATGGAGGACGAGAATGTCAATGAAGGCTAGGAATTATGCAAGACAAAGACGGGATAGTCAAGACTTCTGTCATGGCCACGCGAGCTAAGAAGAAATTGCATCTGCCACAGGATGAAAATGATGACATGCCCCCAAAGAGAATTCCAAAAAATGTTCCGGCATTTGGTGTGGTAAAGTACATGCCAACCAAGCCCCTTACAGAAGATGACATCTCAATTCAACGTCACCGTACCTTGATGCTCAATGAGCTAAAGAAGAACGCTCCGAATCCCAGAACAATTGAAGAGGCCATGAAGCTCACATTTCATGACTGAAGGCAGCTTATCATAACAGAAAATGCAACAGTCGCTCACATTGCTGAACTGTATCCAGCTATTTTCAATCCAAATCAGGTTTGAGGACTAGATTGGTAAATATTATATTATCATTAGTATTGGAATATTATCATTTATTATAAGATACTCGTCCACTCATATTTCACTGCTATTCACTCTGGTTTATCAAATATTTTAATGTAATAAAGGCCGTACTTTGCCCTCATTTCTACTTCTATTCCGATGCATTTAAATAATAATCATAGGTCATGAGTAGAATTTTATGCATTATATTTTGTACAGATACTCTTCGAGTTTGAGCGCTTGACAGAGATCAACTTGATGGAAAGACTTCAGGAAAGTATGAAGATTCATGGGAGAGCAATTCACTTGCTGAGTCAAGTTGCCTTTCCTGACAAGCGTGATTTGGATTCAGCTGAATATGAAGGTGAGACTTCTTTTAAATTAAGAGGTACTTCATTGATCCTCTAGATGGATTGGAAATTCTACAACCCTCTAGTGAATTGTCATATGTCAGATTCATTTCTTTTAATCTATTCATGCAATCTATTTATATTCATCTTATTTATTTTCTCTTGTCTCCATCTTTTCTTTTTCAGATCAAATGATGTCCAGTGCTTTGCTCCTTATTCCAGCACTGATGCGCGAAACAATTAAATATGATATGCCTGTGGAGGTTAGAAAGACTTACATCCATAACTTTTGCTAATAAAACAAAATTACACGGGTTTATTTATTTTGCTCTTTGGTGTGCACTCAAGTTTTGCTTGAAAAACCATGCTTGCAATCTTAAGAAAAATTAGTCTCATTTTATATAAAAATTTACCTTTGGTTTACTGGGTTTATTTGACAGAGCTCCACTATCGATGCCGCGCCAACTCTTCATTTCAGTGACGCTTCGCTTTCCACCTCTGTAGGTATCATCCTCGCAGAAGGCAGGGAGATTTGCAAGGTATCTGGTATCACCGAATGTTTCTTGGCATAATTTGCCACGTTCTGTACCTTCAACATGGCATATCCGAAATAAGCAAAAAGAACTCTGTGATTCCTTCAACGAGCACTGCTTGGTCTGAAGGACAGAAACAAGACACCTCTTATCGTTCTCAAGACGTTACAGAAGTTAACCAGCTACGAATAATCATTAAATATTTTACAGCCATTGCGATGCAGTAGTTCGAATGTCTCCTGGACAAAAATTTTATGTTATATTTAATTATGCAATAATTTCTACAAGTGTCATCGCCAATCCAGTTTCTTAGTCATGCCGAGGTTAGTACTACTATATAGTAGTTTTCTGATATAGTTCATTGATGGCGCTCTAAGGAGTACTCATTTATTTTTCCGATTCAATTCAACGCTCGGTATTTACACATTCACTCGTATGTAGAGACGACCCTCCCTGACCATCTTCACTTAATTTTTAACAATTATTAGTTATTGTTATTGTACTACAATTTTACTGTTACTTATTAATTTTATAACAATTCTAAATGCTTTGAAAAAATGGAGGGACAGAGGGCCTTGCTTCTCGGTTTTTTACTTTTTAATTATAATGTATAATAAGAATGGTTTCTATAAAATAATTATATTTTCTATGATAATGTCGCCTGGAGGAGTGGAATTTATGGGAATTACTTCATCCGGTGCTGGAAACTGCACGATACGCTACAACCGTATATGCTACAACCGTATCTCACCGATACCAAAATGCTGGTTTAATTCTACGTAGATATTTCCGTGTTCTTACGTTCGAAACACCAAGGTGTCTCGAAATCTCACACTTGGAGACACTTGGACTTTTATGAAACACTTAGGCGGCCATAAGTGTCTCGCTTTCGGCACGTTCGCGCGGAGAGGCCTTGAAACACTTAAGTGTTGCTAATGAGGGCCGTAAGGATGAATGCGTGCTTCTCGTAGTTAAAAATTTCGACGTGCAGCAAGTGCAGCAAGCGCAGTAATTGGCAGTAGAAGCAGCAAGTGAAACTAGTGCAGCTAGTACAGCAATTGCAGTAAGAGCACAAGGTGCAGCAAGCGCAGCAAGCGCAGCAAGAGTAGCAAGCGCAGCAAGGGTAGCAAAGGCAACTATAGTGGAACAAGCGAAACTAGTGCAGAAAGAGCAGTAAATGCAGCGAGTGCAGCACGGGCAGCAGGAGCAGCATGTGAGACTAGTGCAGCAAGTGCAACTAGTTCAGCAAATGGAACTAGTGCAGCAAGAGCAGCAAGTGAGACTAATGCAGCAAATGCAGCAAGAGCAGCAAATGCAAGTGCAGTAAGCGCAGCACTCACCCTGTGTCCTACTGTCTGCAGGAGGCGCGGGGTCGAGACTCCCTCCACGTGGCCGCCTCTGCAAGACAAAAGCGGGACGAGTTAACTTATCTTTCACTAAATCAGATTATCTCAATATAATATATATTTTATCAATATAATATATATTATCTCAATATAACATTTATTATCTCAATATAATATAAACGCTTTGCATTTTCTCGACAAGATCTTATGTAAGGAACCAAAAGACGTAACATTTTTGCAAATATTTTTCAATAATGTCGTTCTTCGATAACTTACTAATTTAACATGAATAATTTTCACAAATCTGTCTTAAAACACTAATTGGACGAAGTATAATAAAAATTTTTCACTAATAACTGAAAAATTATTATCTTAAGCTTACAAGTCAGGCAAATTGCCAAATACATTCCAAAAAATATTAAAAGTTGAATAATAATATAATAAAAAATAATATAATAAAAATAATATATTTAAAGTTACATAATAAAAGTAAGAAATAATAAAATTTAAATAAAATAATAAGTTATCTATATCAAATATTGTATATTATACAGTTATATGTTTATATAAAATAAGGTATATTAAATGTAATAAATAATAAAAACTTAGCCTCACCCTAAGGGGAGAGGCGGCGTCGGCGAGGGGGGAGGTGGAGAGCAGGGAGGGGGAGGTGCGGGGGGTGGGGGGCTCGTCCTCCAGCACGTGCCAGTACACGGCGAGCACGCGGCACACGTGCTCCAGTACACGTGCGCACGCCACACGTGCCTCCAAAAATAAACACGGTACCGAATAATAAAACTTCTACAGTACATGATGAATAGTTCAATATATTTCAAAAATATTGCAGAAATATGGGAAATCTATCAGAAATTGTAACATTTTTTTGCGTCATATGCAATGAAAAAAATAAAAATATTGACACCAGCAGGTAAATATCGCGTAAGGTTAGAGAAATGCAACACGGAACAGATGTTTATCCAGCAATTTTCATGTGATATCGTGGCATCTTAATCCTTACAAGGTATTGTAATTAATCGAGTTAAATTCAATGCAAAAATCTATATTAAATTAGTTAATAGTGATCTTTAGATATAATATTCAGTGTAGTTAGTAGCATGTAACGGCAACACTTTAGTTGGCCGTACATAATTAAGGCGCCTAAGACAGAGACTCACAGCAGCGGCGCCCATGACGGCGAACTGCGGCCCCTTGGCGGGGGGCGGCGCCCTTTGCTGCTCCAGGCGCCCCACCGCAACCCCTGCATGAGAAAGGGATGAGTAACACGGAGCAACACAGGACAACACGGAGATATGGGTTATTGGACGCATAAATGCTCATTTTATCGTGGATCGGGATTAATGACCACAATGTTGTATATAAGGGACTAGAGAGACGTAAGTCTCACCAGACCCAACCTAGTTTTACCTGGCCCAAGTCTCGCCAGACCCAAGCCTTACCAGACCTTAGTTTTACATGACCCAAGTCTCACCAGACCCAAGCCTTACCAGACCCTAGTTTTACCTGACCCATGTCTCACCAGACCCAACCCTTACCAGACCCTAGTTTTACCTGACCCATGTCTCACCAGACCCAAGTGTCTGAATCAGAGATATTATCGAGACTTCCGAAACAATTGTTTCATTTCTCTTTGTGACAATTGTTTCCTTTTTCTTTGTGATATTAAATTAACGCCCAATGACATGTTACGCAAGAAGAAAAGAACTTTGCATCTCGACGATCTCACGACGCCTGCTGATCCAGGGCACTTGCAACGCGCCTTCCTTCTTGCCTTCCTTCATTTCGTTCTTTATTTCATTAAATGTTAAGAAAGTTACTCGTGTTTCGATTTGCATACCGTGACGAGCCCTGGGCCTATACTTTCAAAAAATGTTAAGAGATAGTAAGTTCATCAGCCAATCATTGACGGCCTTTCAAGCAAAATCCACCAATCATAGACAAGAAAATAGAGCGTAAATACTTACGTTCACTTAGCGAGTTTTGAAAGTATGGCCCCTGGTTACGTTTGTGCGTGTGCGCTAGACCCATATGCTGAACTAACTATGAACTGAAATTGGGATCTTCCAAGCTTCACTTTATTTACCGGCACAGTTGTAGTCATGAATACCAGCTGGGGCCATACTTTCAAAAATCGCTAAGTGAACGTAAATACTTACGCTCTATTTTCGAGTCTATGATTGGTGGATTTTGCTTAAAAGGCCGTCAATGATTGGTTCATGAACATACGATCTCTCAACATTTTTTTTTTTAAATATGGGCCCTGTACACTGAGACAAGCTACCATTTTCGGTAGAGCTGTTATACTGTTACTGTATTGCAATCCCTGGCGACCTGGTTTGTACTGCATGAATTATTTCTTCTATAATAATTACTTTTAGTATATTCCGTTGGACTCATTTAAACTTTGCACTTTATTGGACAGTAAGAGTGAACATTAACCATAAGTTCATTACTTAAATGCGGTTGATATAGTAACGAATAAGGGGACCAATGGCAAGTGCATGCATGGAAAAGAAAGAACCTAACCCTGGTCTTACCAGACCCAAGTAATACTAGACCTTGACAACCCTATCAGCGGAGTGCCCTTAAACATTACCCGCGGAGTGCCCTCTAACCCTATCAGTGGAGTACCATTAAACCCTATCAGCGGAGTGCCCTTAACCCCTTACCCGTGGAGTGCCCTTAACCCCTTTCCCGTGGAGTGCCCTTAACCCTACCCGTGGAGTGCCCTTAACCCTACCAGTGTAGTGCCCTTAACCCTACCAGTGTAGTGCCCTTAACCCTACCAGTGTAGTGCCCTTAACCCTACCCGTGCAGTCCCCTTTACCCTACCCGTGCAGTGCCCTTTACCCTACCAGTGTAGTGCCCTTAACCCTACCCGTGCAGTGCCCTTAACCCTACCCGTGCAGTGCCCTTAACCCTACCCGTGCAGTGCCCTTAACCCTACCCGTGCAGTGCCCTTAACCCTACCCGCGGAGTGCCCTTAACCCTACCCGTGCAGTGCCCTTAACCCTACCCGTGGAGTGCCCTTAACCCTACCCGTGGGTTCCCTCCACCCACCAGAGACGAGGGCGCAGGAGAGGGCGATGAGGGCGACGTGGGTGGGCAGGTCCCCCGCCACCGCCACGTCCGCCGTCAGGCCCACCACCTGCAGCAGCAGCCCGCAGCCCGCCGCCCCACCGCCACTGCCCGGGCAGCCACATGTAAGCCACAACTAGCACGCCACACGGAACTAGCACGCCACACGGCACTAGCACGCCACACGGCACTAGCACGCCACACGGCACTAGCACGCCACACGGCACTAGCACGCCACACGGCACTAGCACGCCACACGGCACTAGCACGCCACACGGCACTAGCACGCCACACGGCACTAGCACGCCACACGGCACTAGCACGCCACACGGCACTAGCACGCCACACGGCACTAGCACGCCACACGGCACTAGCACGCCACACGGCACTAGCACGCCACACGGCACTAGCACGCCACACGGCACTAGCACGCCACNTCCGTACGACCTGTCTCTTATACACATCTAGATGTGTATAAGAGACAGGTACAGCACGGGGGGGTAGGCGTGGGCGAGCTCACTGAGCGCCTGTACGCAGCCGCCCTGCAGGAACATACGTACAATCAATTTTAATTAATTAATTATTAGATTATTTTTAATTCCCGTATATAAAGATTCTTAAACACAGTGAAATTAAAAGAAGTTTGATTATGAATGCGGCACGTAAATAAATGAACAAACAAATAGTGATAGCAAATGTTGGCGATGGTGAGTAACGTTACAGGGAAGAGTATAGAAGTACTTACCTTCATGATCTTGTTGGTGGTGGTGAAGAGAGTGGTGATGAAGAGGGTGGTGGTGAAGAGGGTGAGGGAGGGTGGTGGTGAAGAAGGTGGTGGCGTTGAGGGAGGCTAAACTCACTCATGATAAAGTCGGCGATGGTGAGTAACGTTACAGGGAAGAGTATAGAAGTACTCACCTTCATGATCTTGTTGGTGGTGGTGAAGAGAGTGGTGGTAAGGAGGTGCACGAGGCGGGACAAGCTGTCGTCGACGTGCTGACGCCGCAGCAGCTCGAGGGCGTCTGGCGGTGGTGCGCTGTCGGCGCCTCCAGTGGCGCTCGCGCCTCCGCGAGGGGAGGACGTGCGTCGCTGCTGCTCCCGGAGGCGCGCCACGAGGGCGTCGTATGGGGGAGCTAACGCAGCTCCCCCCACCTCGCTCCAGCAGCCGTCCAGCCTATAATAATTTCGCTCTTCAATAGAAGTTGAGGCGTAAAGCTATGGAAATTTGCTTACTCTAGCGTGCAAAATAACGTTTTGTAATACTTGCTCAGTTCAACACTAAAATTTAGCCAATAGCCAAAAATCACAGCTGTCGCTGAATGAGAAGAAAAGCGGATGAATTAAAGATTAATGATGTGAAATTATCGCAAAAACCCATAGGTATCAATGCAAATTACAATGCAGATAAATGACGTAACAACAGAGGAACCAAACAGACTATGTCTAGCGCAGCGAAGGTTCTTTCATTAATTGATTGCACGGCAACTGAATTGATTGCACCATCAGTAATTGATTGCATGGTATCTCTATCAACTCTAGGGGTCGATCTCGGCCCTCTCCACGAGGGTAGATTTGAAACTAAAATCTCGCCAATAATATACATGAATCCAGTACATCGTAATATCTATATTGCAATGATGTTTGGAGCTTCGTTGGACGAGGCAACCAAACAGCCACTCAATTACCGTCCAGAAAACGTCAATAATGGTAAATTGTACCAGCAAATATCATCTGTATTAATTCTCCTTTCATTTACAAGTTATATTTCGCTGTCTTATTGTAGTTTCATTTCGCTAATGCAGTCTTTTAAATTCCGTAGTTTAATATACGTGTAGATAATCTTGAAAGATCTCATTTTCTTCCAAGGAGATCGAAGAGCTTATCGAAAATGCTAACAGCTGAATGAGGTGGATGAGCAAGCATATTCCCAGTGCGATAACTCATACAACGACGCTCAGCGTCTGGAGAGTGGAAACCGACACACATTTCGCTCAACTGATTTCAAACGAAAAAAAACAGATCGCAGAATGGTATAGGAAAAAATGGTATAAATACTGAATGGTATCAATAAAAATTGTGACCTCCTGTGATGGATTAAGAGTTCAGTGTTTTATCTTACAATTGCGGGGCTCGCAACTTGATGAACCTTACAGCCCACGGCCACTCAGATGATATAATGATGATCACCATATCATTAATTATCATTGTAGCGCTAGGTATCATCCTCAGATGATATAAGGATGATAACCATGCCATTGTTCATCGTTATAGCGCTAGGTATATCATCCTCAGATGATATAAGGATGATAACCATGCCATTATTCATCATTACAGCGCTGAGTATCATGCCATTCCCCACCTGGTGGGGCTGGGGAGCAGGTAACCCGGCAGCAGCTGCGACGCCCCGCACACCCCCAGCAGATCCCCCAGCAGCAGCCCCACCGACACCAGCCTGGGGGAGTGGTGGGGGGGGGGAGTGAGGAGTGTTGGCATCAATGGCATGTGGCATGTGGGATGACGTGTGGGATGACGTGTGGGATGACGTGTGGGGTGACATGTGGGGGTGGCACTTGTAGAACTTCGTGGGAATCATATGGGTAAACACGAAGGAAAGCACATGGGGAGAGCATGGGGGACATGGGGAATATTGGAATATATAAGATATACCAACATGGAAGATATAATATTGGAATATATAACATAGTACCTATACCGGTATAACATGGAATATATAATATTGGACTATATAACGTATATAACATGGAACATATAAAATTTGAATATATAACATATTTAACATGGAATATATAACATATATAACATGGAATATATAATATTGGACTATATAACGTATATAACATGGAAAATATAAAATTTGAATATATAACATATTTAACATGTGGGGGAGGACGCAAAGGGCGGCGCGCACCTGACGAGGGCGGCGCAGGCGGCAGAGCGCACGCGGGCGTCAGCGTCAGCGAGCCGAGGCAGCAGCGCTGACGTCAGCACCAGGTGTGAGAACGACCCCCCGGCTGGGGGCTTGCCTCCCAGTGCCCCCAACACGCGGGGACTGTCCCCCACACCCCCGTGGGGCCCGTCCCCCCGCTGGAGGTGGTCCACGTGGGCCAGCGGCAGCGCCCCCAAAAGGGCACACGCCTCCACCTGCACGACGATGACGTAAGACTTACGATGGTCGTAAGTTATGCTCTGACCCACACGCTACGATGGACGTAAGTTATGCTCTGACCTACACGCTACGATGGTCGTAAGTCCTGACCTACACGCTACGATGGTCGTAAGTCCTGACCTACACGCTACGATGGTCGTAAGCTCTGCCATGACCTANTATGCTCTGACCCACACGCTACGATGGTCGTAAGTTATGCTCTGACCTACACGCTACGATGGTCGTAAGTCCTGACCTACACGCTACGATGGTCGTAAGTCCTGACCTACACGCTACGATGGTCGTAAGCTCTGCCATGAGCTACACGCTACGATGGTCGAAGCAAGTACTCACAATTGTCACAAATTGTAAGTTCCACCATTGAAGTAAGTCCTATATACTATTGTTATAAGTTCTAGCGCAGTCCCAAACTACACCGCAATGCACTAACTTCTGATCAACAGCGATAGGTAATAATTACTGTTGACGACTGAGATGTAGTAACGCGAAGAATCACTCGTATAATAAAATGAAATAAGTGGCCCAGAAATTCAAGCGAGGATTAGAACAGGGATGGAAAGTTCAATACATGAACTAAATTATTATCGTTAATTGCGCCCCTCACCCTGACGAGCCAGTAGGGGTGTGCAGCAGCAGTCAGGAGGGGCTGCAGGAGGGGCAGGAGGGGCGGGGTGTGCTGCCACAGCAGCAGTGGCGGCATGCAGCACTTCAGCGCCGCCACAGCACCGCGCGCTGCCACAGCACTGCTGCTCTCCAGCACCTGTACAGTGCACACAGCAACACCTTAAAATACTTTTAATTTAAATTTCAATTAATTAATTAATTAATTTTAAAATACCCACGCACCTCCCTCAGCAGCCCCACCCACCTCCCTCAGCNAGCACGTCTGGGGGAAGAGGAGGGGAGGAGGGACGTGGTAACGAGGGGTGACTGCACCAGCACGTCTGGGGGGAAAGAAGGGGAAGAGGGACGTGACAACGAGGGGTGACTGCACCAGCACGTCTGGGGGGAAAGAAGGGGAAGAGGGACGTGACGAGGGGTGACTGCACCAGCACGTCTGGGGGAAGAAGAGGAGGAGGGACGTGATAACGAGGGGTGACTGCACCAGCACGTCTGGGGGAAAAGAGGGAAATGGAAACGAGGGGTAACGACTGAGGCATATGACGGATTTTTCCCTTAGCCGTTTGGAAAATAAGCTATTCGTGTCCGATCCATCTAAGTGAGTATTAAAATATTTTCTGTCGTGTCGCGAATCGCGCTGTTCGTTAGGCCTGTAGCAGATCGCAAAATAATTATATGTTTGAATATTTCCCCGTTTTTTTCTAAATCCCTCGAAGGTTATTCAGACTCCGTTAGCTGTTAAGTTCAGACACCTCGAGCTGTCCAACCTGACCAAATAATAGATACCAGAAACGTAGCAATAGAGTAAGATGGGAGCCCATATACCTATATAACACCTAGTTTATGCAGGCTGTCGTAAATCGAATATTGGTATCTTAAAATGTGTTGAAAAACAACAAGTCGTTATTGTCGGACATAAAAATACAAGAATATTCATTAAATAATCACAAAGGAAAATGAACGATACTATACGAACGTTACCGATCAATGCTCTTCATCTCCCAATTAAAGTTCGAAGCCAGGCCCTACGCCGGTTGAGATAACAGTGCTTGGGCCACGTTGCAGCGAAGCCAGGATGTGTTTTGCAGTCAAAATACAGAATAACAACAGCTACCATCGCAGCAAGACTTCCTTTCCTAGTGAGATACAAAGTGCTAATGCAAGGCACCACTAGACTAAGGCAACATGCCTGCCAAGTGCCAGCTCCTGCAGCGACTAGTTGTCTAGAGGGGCCGGCTGCAACGCGACTTAGATGTTCAATAAACAGCGAGCAAGTGCGTATATAAGTGCGCTTAAATGAAACGCTATATACACGCCAGCCACCGAGGTGGTCGAGGCACCCACCGAGGTTGTCGAGGCGCTGGTCGAGGCACCCACCGAGGTGGTCGAGGCACTGATCGAGGCACCCACCGAGATGGTCGAGGCACTAGTCTAGGCACTGGTCGAGGCACCCACCGAGGTGGTCGAGGCACCCACCGAGGTGGTCGAGGCACCCACC